GTCATGTTTACTGTTGATGGTGTAGAAATGTAGCACTCCCTACCACAAAAATAGAATATTGTTCTCTAATAATCTGGACAGTGTTTCACTAACACAAAACAAATCAAAACTTAGGGATAGATAAAAACAAGAGAAAATGAGTTGTGAGTGTAATTTCTTCATCACAGTTTGAGTTTCTGTCGGACCTAATTAATTCCTAAGAATATTTTCATGGGTTTTGGGTACTGTCTTGTCTTCTGCCTCTTCATGTTTTACCTTGTTACCTTTCAAGAGCAAGTTAAGGATTATTTTCTTTGCTGTTGTTTCAGTGTGCCTCCGCGCTGCCATTTGTAGATAAAAATATATCAACATGTTAGTGAAATGGTACATTGTACGTGTCTTGCATGTCAGTTTTGTGTGACCCGAGTGTTCGCATGTCATGACCATTCTGAAATTTCTGAATACACATCTCCGATGAGAGAGTTTTGTGACTCTGACAGTCTGCTGAATGTGCAGCTTTTTATTATGAAATCATTCCACCAACAGAGTAAGCCCTCATAGTTTTGAATTGTGTCATTGTTTTGTAGAGATCAATCGCAGCACGTGACCACTGCACGCTCAGGATCCCCCCTACCCTGATAATGGCAGAAGCCTTGCATCAGCCTCTTTCCAAAATAACTAGCTCCTACTATAACAGTGTGTGTGGGGGGGGTGCCCCCCTGAGTGCACAGTGACCTGATGCAGTGATTGCCCTGCAGGAGTACCTGTCATTGTAGTAAGATCCATGTTTATCCAGTTCCGTTCGCTGATCCCATGCCAGAGGAATCACCAGTGCCCCCCCCCAGCTTACTGCTACACCTTCACATATTGTCCTTAAGCGAGCATTCTTTGACTCCATAGTACAAGTTGTCCAAAGTAAGCGAATGCCCTAATTTTTCGTGTTGCAGGTTTTGAAGATCATGAACAGCAACACGGAGAATCCTTATCTGATATGGGACAACTCAACCCGGGCGGAGTTGACAGAATTTGCTTCCAAACAACAGCATAGCCACATAAGAACTGTGAGTAGTCTCTCTCGGATGCATCAATTTACAAAAAGAAAATGAATCGGTTTACTCTGCAACACAAATTCTGCATTTATTTCTGCTTTCAGCATGTCATTCAGCACAAACAATCCGTGTTCCATTTTAGTATTGTTGGGTTCGGATCAGAATGCTCTGAATTTCTCGGCGATATTTTTGCAATACAATCTCATGTGCCTTCTTTACTTCCAGGGAGAGAGTGACCCGGCATTCGGGGCCGATTTCATCTTCTCTGCTCATGCCAAAGAGCTGATCATTGGTGAGGTATTTGTGCGAGTGTACAATGACCAGCCAACCTTTCCCTTGGAGGTGAGGATTTTTATTTCCATGCTGATATTGTGTCTACTGATCATGTGCCTGAACAATTGAGGGCACTCTTCACCAAAATTTGGGGTCCTACTCAGAATTAAAATAGGGAATTTTGAATTGATTATTTATTTCCCGATGTTTTCAATTTTCTTTACACTTTGGAAAGTTGAAGTGGTTTAGAAGTGTTTCAGTACTTCTTAAATTTGTTAAATATCTATTTTCCAGGATGCTAAGGGGTTCACCGTCAGCTTACTAGATTATCTAGGCTCCCAGGCTCAGGTAAGATTCAGACTCGGACCGGCCAGCCGACCCCGGCAAGCTCGGTGGTCGAGTGGTTAAGACATCTGCACTAGTAAGCAGGAGGTTGTGGGTTCGAGTCCCACCC